ATCAATGTTCAGGTAATCTACCTAAACAGCTGAAATAAATATTTTTACAAAAATTTTATCTTTCGATAAAGATAAAAAATGAAAATTTCTGAATGCGCAAAAAACGCTGTGTCTGTTACGCCGCATATGATGTCACATGCTACTAATTGAAGAACCTCATCATAACAAAATCGTCAAGGAAGCCATATTTACTAGCGTGTTAGTCTCAAATAAAAATATTGTATTAATTTTATTTTGTGTGATCTGCAAAAAATATACATTATTTCGTTTAAAATAAAGTGAAATATTATCTTTTTGAATATAATTATTTTTAATGTTGTCAAATACCCTAATGCAGACCGACACAGACAGAAGACTGCAAGAATGTTTTATATAGAAATTAGATATAGAGTGAGATGATGGCTGATCGACAAATATGCAAGACGAATATCATCAAAATATCCCTAATAAATTAATTGGGACAAGAGCAGATTATCTGAGTGTGTACGTATCTACCGTCGGGATTACAATTGGAGAATTGGTAGATGCACCAATTGCATTAATTGGTGGATATTTTTCAAAGAAAAAAGTAATAGCACTAGCATTTATCGTTCCAATTATAAATGGACTAACAACATTGCCAATTAAACAATGCTTCAAGCAACTCAGATCAACACAGCAAACTAAATGGGCAACACACGGTTTTTATTAATTTTAGTAAGTAAATACTCTATTATTTTTTTACGCAGGCAGCATGTAGTTAGGTAACGCGTGTGCGATGGTCGTGTTGGGGATGCAATCAGTCGGAGATTTTGGAAATATTTATTTTCTCTTCTTAGGTTCTATCGCAGATATTTAACAATGCAGAATACATAATTAGCTACTTTTATTACGCTTTAATAATCCTATCAATTTAATTCGATATCGTCGCCCCTTCTACTCTATGCGGGGGTGAGGTTGAGGGGGCGTGCTCCCGTTTACTCGCTGCGGGGGTGCAGATGGGGGGAGACGTTTCCGTGGCTGCCATCTCCTCGTCGGGTCTGGGGAAGATGCGCTCAATGACTCCCCGGGGCCAGATGTTGCGTGTTGAGTTCGGGTCGGCAATGATGACTAGATCGCCCATTTGAAGGGCGGCTTCCTTTCTTGAATTACCCCTCGGTGTCAGCGTCAGCAGGTACTTCTTCATCCAGCGTTGCCAGAAGCTGTCGGCGAGCGCTTGGACAGCCCGCCATTAGCGCCTGTCGCGGGGTCGACAGGGGCCGGTGATTGGCAGGCCCGATGACGTACCCGGCAGGAAATGTTTCAGCGTGAGGGCTTCAGTGTCGGCTGGACTGACTGACACGTGGGACAGCGGTCACGAGTTCACGGCGTGTTCGGCTTTGGTCATCATGGTATAGGGTATAGTGATTAGAGCGGTTTTGTCATTCTCATGCTCCTTTCTGGTTGTTGCAGCTCTCTCGTACAACCGCCTGCAGCTCCTTGTCGGTGTCCCTGAAGTTCGTTCCGTTGTCGCTTATTATCGTTCTTGGCCATCCACGCCACGCTTCTCTTCTTATCACCATTATCACTGAATCCGTGCTGACTTGCTACTATTTCCAAATGTATCGCTCTGGTGGTTAGGCAAGTAAACAACACGCCCCAGCGCTTTTTATGGCGTCGTCTCACGGTGACAATCATTGGCCCGTAGTAATCGAGGCCGCAGTTCGTGAAGGGTCTGAGATGCGGGCTGAGTCGTTCGAGCATTGTCGTAATTCGTTGATACACGCTCTATGTTCACGTGTCCCGCTACTTCGTGTTCCTTTACGATAATTCTGCGTGTGAACAAGTGAACGAAACAAAGAAGTCGATAATTTCGGACAGAAAGCGTCCAAAATGATCGGCTTCTTAGTTTCGTCTGGTATTGTTGCAGCGTTCATTCACCCTCGTACGAGCAGTATTCCGTCCACCAGCACGGCATCCAGTTTGTATAGACGGCTTAACTGTGGTATCTTCTTTCCTTTTTGAAGAAGTTTTATCCCGCCTATTGATAAAATGTCGTATCCTACAGCAAGAGGAGGTCGGTCGCTCTGGAGCTCATCTCCGTCAGGCGTCAGGACCGCAGCCCGCGATTGTTGTTGTTAAGCAACTCTTGCGAGAGTCGGTCGAGGGATGGGTGACCAAAAAATTATTATCGCGAGCTAATCCGTGCTTCGGAAGGCACATTTAGCCGTTGGTCTTGGCTGCATTTTCAGTCGTTATTACAATTCACATTGGGCCAGCGCGGAGTGTCATGTCCCATCATCCTTAACCATTAAGGAAGGCCTGAGCTCCTGAGTAAAAAGACTAATGATGATAAAAATTGTAAACCTAAACTAGTGATTTTTTTCGCCGTCTTCTTCATAGGTCCTACTGTCTGGCCAGCAGGCAACATCAAACAGCGATGTATCTTCATTCCAACTGGTAAGAATACGATGAATATATTTTTTAAATGTAACATAAGAATTCTTACGTACACACAGCGGTACGTCAGGCTACCAATATATCAATTCATCAATAGATTTTGAACTCTACCAAGAATGCATTAAGAATTTAAATAAAATGGAGCAATTTGTCAGTTTTGTATAGCCTGATATACTGTTGAATGTACGTACATAAATTTTATTTAAACATCGACTGGTACTCCGGCAGCGACTCCGAATTCATATTGCTGTTCCAAGCGCCAAGATTACGTACCCGATACCCATACCACCGTTCAGTTTAACACCGCTAACTCGCACCAAATGACAATAACACCTACCCACATAAACTTCAGTTACTCCGTGATCATGGCGCTTGCGATATCGCCGAAATATCAGGAACTCCTGATATTTATAGAGTATTCTCGTTGTTAGCAATCATTCTGATGCGGGTGTTATGTCTATAAATTGTACAGAAACGAACTGGAAAAAAGTACCACGGTATCCCGAGTTAGAGTTTATTTTTGTGTCGTATGATATATAGGTATGAGATAAAGGGATCAGTTTACTTTCTCTTGTTGTTAAGAAGGCTCCTAAAGTTGGAACTGGTGGTAGATTATGGTAGGTAAGGGTAAATAAATAAGTCAAATGTATTTTTAAATAATTTAATTTAATTTATTAAATAACCTGTTAAGGGTCCGAAACGTCTAAAACTAAATACAAACGCCATGAAACCGTTTAAAAGTTGTTTCATTTATGGATAGAGCGCGTGAAAATATAAAAAATCAATACCTTATAGGATCACTTTGTTGTTCCTCTGTCAAGACCCTTTTTCTTAGGAACGCGTGGAGGTATAATGTATATCTATATCAAGATGAAATTTATATCAAACACTCAGGTCTACTATCCCTTGGAACTGTGAAATATTCAAACTTCTAAGCAAAGGCAATCAAAAGATACAGCTGTTTACGCAGTAAATTTTCGAAACTCGCAAGGGAACCTAGACCTACAGGGTACTTCCCGTGAGCTACGAACATATGTGGTACGAAGTAACGTCGTATAGCATAGATAAAGGAAACATTGCGAAAAACCTAAATTTTTATTATTATTATTACTCTTGAATTTTACTTTTTACATACGTAACCCTCGGTGAGCGAGTCCAACTCGCACTTGACGGGTTTTCTTTATTATACGTTTGTTGCGAAAAAAATTAATAATAATGGTATTTAAATATTTTTTCAGCTTGCCCGCTTGTCGTTTCCGACTGTAGAGACGGTAAGTCCTCTTAGACTATCAAATTTCTGATTTAGAATGAGGAAGAATTTAGAAAAAAAACGAAAGCACTAAAAAAGCTCCTACACTAGATGGCGACTCTAACAAAAGTTGGTTTTTGCAGGAAACGAATGGACTTTAACCGGTCATTTCCGTTCTTTTAACAAACATATTAAAAAACTGAAATTCGAATAGTTTGAAACATAGATATCAATACAAATACGAAAAAGTTCAAATAGAATATGAGTTGTTTATTGAGTTATGAAAACTAATTTACTTTTAAACTTGAAAGAAAACCGGGAAGGTTGTCGTGGAGAAATCAAGAACGTACAGTAGCGACATCTAGTTTGATTTCGGGAACTAATGTTTTTTTTTCTTCTTCTTCTTCTTTTAATTAATGGCTTATCTGCGCATTTCGCACAATTCTGCCAATGTCAAGTGAATAAATTAATTTCTACATGTAAAATGAAAATGAAACGAATGAAAGATGGCGATGATCCATAAATATATCTTATTTTAAATCTCTTTCAATTTGACAGTTGAAAGATATCACGAACTTCACACTATAACTATTTAACATGTGGCAAAGAATACGATTGCAAGGTTTTTTTTAACGGTATCGTTAAGACCTTAATTGGAATTGTTTAAGGCAAGCGATAGACGTAAGTATTACTTTAAGTTACTAACGGTCAGTTGCACAAACGTCTATTAAGGTTTAATGACGTCTCTAAGCGCTAATGAATGTCAAATTTGTATGGGTAATGTCGCTTTATTCTAATGAAAATATTAATGGACGTTTGTGCAACTGGCTATAAGTTATTGTCTCTTGATCATTCATTATTCTTTCCGAAAACGATTGTGACTTTAAACGTTACTTAATTCCATAAATCACTATCACATTCGCTATACCTCTGAAAGGGATTGCAATAAATTTTGAAATTTGATAATTAGGCTACATATTTTTTGCGCACTTTATTTTATTAATTTATTTTAATGCAGTCCACGATGTAGTATGTATATGTTACAAAAATGAAAATATCATAATGGACCTTACCACTTATTTGCCTTCATATCACCCCAAGGTTGACTGGTAGAGAATGCTTTAGGCATTAATGCACTGTTACACATTCCACCACAAATGTCACCCAACTGTCAATGTCCATTGGATTATAAACCTCAATACAAGAGCGTGCGAGCTCAAAAATAATTGAGGGAATTTAACATTTGTGGTAGCATGACCTGCAGCCCTGATACTAAAGAGTTAAATAAAAAAAAAAACTTAACCCGTGTGGAAAATTCTAGAAACCGTACAACATGCCCAGCAGTAAGGTGATTGATCCAAGGCACAGTTACGCGGACGAGAAGTTCGAGAAACTTCAAGAGTATTACAGTTTTATGAACGGCCGCATCAAGGAGCCCCATAACCCGGTGAGAATAATTAAAGGTAGATTTAGACTTAGGGTCGTACACTTCTATCGACAACCTTTCCCACTTTGCCGATTGAAATAGCAGACTAATAAGGCAATTCTGCTAATGTTAGCGTTCTGTTAAAGGTCGTGGGTTCGATTCCCATCTCAGGGTGCCAGGTACCAAGTGGATTTTTTAAGCATTTTGTATTAAGAATAATTTTCAGTATGGCATTGTGAATGCTAAATTAAACAAAATATGATAATTAGAACAAAATTTTCATCCTTATCGAAACTTTCAATATTTGTAACAATATTTCTTTCGGCTATTTGGGTGGATGCCTGCACGCATAACATGACAAACACGAGAAACGCTTTGTCTACACTCATTTGTCAGTTTCTCGGGTCGAGAGTGAGATATCGTATGGGCGCATCCGAGAAAAGTGACATGAGTGTAGACAAAACTTTCTCGAGTTCGTCATGCTACGTGTGCTGAACATTGATGAGAATACGCTCTGTAATAGCGAAAAAGTAACAAGTGCTTGAAAGATTCGTCAGTCCTGTTAGGTCCTGGGTAGCTCAGTGGTTAGAGCAGTCACCCGGATTGCGAAAGGTCACGGGTTCGAGTCCCACCTCAGGGTGCCAGGGGCCAAGTGGATTTTTTAGGCATTTTGTATTAAGAATAATTAAAGATATTTTGCTGCGGTTTCTTTTTAAAAATGAAATAAAAAGGTGTAATGGTACCTTCTTTGTTTCCCATTTCCATCAAACAAGTTCTTTAGCTGATTGATTTAGTATTACAGCTTAATTATTATTATTTAATATTAGTTAATGTTGTCTAATATTTTGTGGACTATTTTTCATCACAGACAGAACGTCGTGAAATATTAGAAAATGCAGAGAAAAAGTTGTTCGCATTCATAGACACGCACATAAAGGATCTGAAACGATTGCTGTTCGCTACCGACATGGCGCTTATGTCTATGGTATTGCTTAAGCTGAACAAGAAGATGGACACTTCCGAAGCCAAGATACGTTCCACACAAGCTAAAATACCTTTCGGCCTTTACAGCAGTCCAGGTACAAATCAATATCTTCACGCCAGTTACCTTGAGGGGTAGACAGAGTACTCCGTTTTTCATTACTTTTTTCATACATGCTCATCGGTTTCAAAGGGTTCTGACATGGCCATCCGACCGAACATGATTAATTTGATCGTGAAAGGTATGTCTTGACTTTCTCACTGTCTTGTTGTTTTGACGACTGATAAGTAGCGACATCTAACACATCGCCACAACAATTGACAGTAAAACGAACTGCAAGAAGTTTGAACACCCAGTAACGAGATTGCGCTGTACATCGTTAACTAAGATACCACAAATCGTTTAGAACGAAGAAAACTTACATCGCCCACATTGAGTTTCATTACCATTCGCATAAATAGCACGTCCAACCTACACCGGTTGGACCGCGGTCCCCGGGCTATCAACACCTAGCTCGGAGGGGGACAATTACCCTTTTCTGTAAAAAACCGAATTCGAATTCATTCTAGTGTCCAAATTTTTACAGAATCGCAGAGCAGGATTCGAATCTAGATTATCGGTGACCTCGTCATTCGCCTATGGAGCCTTTGACTCTGTCAATAACAAGTAGTAAAAGCAATTACATTATAACAAGTGTTCTTGTTCGCCAGAATTCAAATGTTTGGGAACGTCGTACTACATAGCATCCGCTCACAACCAGGAAGATGCACAGATGATACTCTCCAGTGAGAGGAAACCACATTGTTATACTTTCAGGGGTACGTGGAATAGAAAAAAGCATTATTAACTTGAAATTTAAACAATCCACCGCTCCTATTTCGTGATAGGGTACTGATTGCCAGGGCAGTCTTTATCCATTCGAGGCTAAGGGGCATCTAGGGTTGTAAGTAGTTTTGAATTTTGGTCATATGTTATCTGCCTCAATAGTACGCAAGGTCCTTGGCCAGTGCCCCTTGTGCCCAGTGGGGTAGAGGGATCTGATAATGGCAGCCGTTGACCCACTAAAGTAGACACTCATTCAACAACTAGTTCTGTATGATCGAATAGCAATGAAAAATGGGAACCTTCCCTAACTTCACATGACCCATGGTCCTAAAGCTATCAACATCCAAATCGGAGGAAGACTATTTCCTTTTTGTTTGTCTTTTAAAAATGATTCTTGCCACAAATATGCAGTTGCAGTCCTATAATTTTTATATATCAATCAAAAATATCACCATTAGCTCTTTTACCTCCTCACTGTAGGGGCTCAGGTTTTCCTTATGGGTGGTTAAGGAGGATGGGCCATAGACCTCCACGCTGGCTAAAAGCAAATGCTACAGCTTAAGTGCCTTCTGAAGCACGGAGTAACTCCAGATAATATTTTTTCATCACCCATCCCGTAACCGACCATTGTGAAACTTGCTTAACAACAACGATCGCGGGCCGCGGCACTTATCCATTATGCCACCGTCTACTCATTTAAAAATATACTGCCTAAATATAATTTCGAATGGTATTTTGACAGGTGCATTCGCTTTCATTGGCTTCTATCACCGTCACTCGGAAACTACTTACGTTGGCCCCCACGCGGAACAGTTCCAAGCGAAGGATCCAAGTCAAGGTCTCTACTGCCACTCTGACGACAACTGGAGCGACGCCCAGTGCATATACAAGTATATACATATACAATGGCTATAACCGACGTAATATAAAACAAAGACGAACTTTATTACCAGGTTTACACCATTATCCGACCAAAATAAGTCAACACGTCTCAACTTAAAGTATTATCTTCGTTGTCATTTGCCTTAGGTTAATCTAAGTATTAACTTTAATAATAAGACGATTTATGTGGAACAACGGTACCCATCGTTTATTCCAGTATCTCAGAACCATAGATTTTTTATCTGAATTCAAAACTTAATACAAAATCTATAAAGAGTATATTTGCAAAAAGGATGTTATCTTAATACTCGATTTGAACCTAGAAATCTTTCGTTTTTTCGCTGATAGAAAAATTGATGTCATCAAGATATTAACGTGATATCTGAGGAAAGGCATATTTTGTATTGCTATAAAAAGAAAACTACTGATTCAATTTCGATAAAATTTAAATAAGACCACCTCGAGCCATTAATCTGTCGAATAAAAAATAACTTTGTAAATCGATTCATAATGTTTGAATTGAATTGAGAACTGAGAACCTCCTCCTATTCGGTTGCCGGAAGTCGGTTAAAAATCTGTTATATATACTGTCATATATGGGTTCCTTACTAAGAGGACTGTTCAGTTTGTGTAACGTATTCTATTGTAGGGAATCATTTAGGGGTCCTTTTATTTAAAGGGACCCTTAGTCAAGTAACTTAGGGGACATTGGTGAAATCGGACATAAGTCGCTGGACTTTTGAAAAGACGCAGCAGTCATCAATCGCTGGTCAAATATTTAATTTGGAGCACTAAAAAGGTTAAGAATCGCTGCTCAAAGTTCGACAGACATCTCTTTAATAGCCTAACATGCAACTGTGTACAACACGTAAAATTATAGCTAGACAGAACTATAAGACATGATTTGGATGGATGGATTTTAGACGGTATACTTATGGCTGATGACTGGGTAAAAGAAAAGATATTCTAATTAGTCCATCAGTCAGATTTTTTTACCTAATTTTAATAAGAAATAGCTTAAATAACAGGCATTAAACTTGAGAAGTAAGGGCACAGTTTTGTATAAAATGTACCAAGCGTGACTTCATGTGAAATTGTAACTCAGTATTGCCGTATTTAACTGATATCTCAAAAAAGAAAAAAATACGTATTTAATATTTTTCAACAATGTACCTAATGGAAATACAAAAAAGAATTAGTCGTCATCGTCTAGTGTTGCGCGCAAGAGTCCCACATAACACACCGAAAGTATCATTCACTCGATCAGTCTGCTATTACAGATATTAACTGTTGTAGAGGCTGTTAATTGCTACATTACTAGCTACATAAGGAGGGTTATAACAAGTTGTACTTATTATATAAATGTCGCAGCAATAGATAGGCTTATAATCAGGACCGGAACTAGGGAGGAGCAAATGGGAGCACTTGCCCTGGATGCCAGTGATAGGGGAGCAAAATGGGGCAAAATTATAATAAATTATAGTAAAAAAAACGAAGGAGCGCCAGTTTCAGGGAGGTGCAAGATCAAATTATAGTAAAATCAAAGAATGAGCTTTACAAAAATGTCTTTTGAAATTCATACACATTATAGTCTACGATGGATATGACACGGACGGTCTCACATAAGGGGGAGGGGGTGTTATGGGCGCAATAACGAGTTTATGCCCCGGTGATGACCAAGGACGGGAAGCCACTGTATATCGACCAATGAAATTCAGCTTTTGTCCTTTTACTCACCCAGGATCAATCCTCGCGAGGAGTTCCCGGAGTCCGTAGAGTACGAGCCGAAGGTGTCCTACTGGTGTGGTCCATACAGATACTTCATCCCGGCCACCACCGACGTCCGCTGCATCTTCTCCATATTCTCCATGAACTTCATATTCCGTTTCGGTTACGATGGCGTCACTTATAAGAGCTCAGACTTGTCATTCGTAAGTTATCATAAACAATTAGTATTTTTTGATCAAATTTTACATTCATAACGCTATTATTAATGTATGTGGACGTCGGCGAAGAGGTGGGCGAATAAATGGATGTTTTTCAGGATCGCAACCTTTATTTTTCTTATTTTTACAAATTTCTTATACTGGTACATGAACTACTCGCACTCCTTCTTTCTTAAAAATCGCCATCTTTCTTTTATATCTTTTCTTTCAATCACACACACCTTGCCTCTCTTTCATCCCTCGTCTTACAAAAATCACCAGTCACTCACCAGGCCACAACTCTGCTAAATTTTACGTACCTAATAATGGCATCTCAATAGAATATCAACTGGGTACTTGCGTTTGCCATCGTACTGTCAACCTGTTGTCCAATATTATTTGTGCAATGTCTTCCTCACAAATCAATGGTGACAGATTTTTTTTATTCTGTAATCCAGTAACAAGAACTGTGTCATAAAGGGATTAAAGGGTTGTAGTGGATGAGCTATTGACTTTCCATAATAACGCTGACATTAGCAGAATTGCCTACATGTATCCCGAAGAAATTGATGATTTTTTAAGGATTAATGAATTACTGTTTTTTATTTTTTAATAATTAAAATCTTGTCCCCTAGCACCATTAGATACCCCTGCTTTGCACAGAGCTTACATTTGATAAAATTCAAAAACTTTGAAAAACTCAACGCCATGTTACAGTTTCGCTCGAGAACTATCTATTAAATCCCGATGTTTATTTAATACTACGCTATTTAAAAAAAATGAAAATACTGATTGATCTTTTAATATTGTACTTCACATTTTAATGAAGTTATTTTTCAATTCTGACGCTCTGTATGAAATAAAACAGGGCGAAAAAAAGCAGCCCTCGCCGAGTTTCTTGCCGGTTCTTCTCGGTTCAAAGTCTCTCGCCGTAGATTTACGAACCAATGGCGTGGCTCTCGACTTTTAATTTTTAAAGTACTTGTAACAGCCTAGACTGAATAAATTATTTTGATTTGATTTTATATCAGCTTAACTCCAAACTTTCCGCTTTAACCTCGACAGATGTATCAGAACGGACAAGTATTCTATACGGACGAGCCATGGGCGGGCATGTCCTGCTGGAGCTGGGCGTGCAAGTGGAGACACAACCAGAACATGCGCTCCAACGAGTTCTTCGTCAACTAAACATCTGCGGTGCTATTAATAAACAAAGTTTAGCGTCAGAGTGAGATTTGCGCTAAAATTGCAATTTTAGTATTAGTCCTAATTCATATTATACAGAGAATAAGCAAACCTACTACTTTCTAGAGTAGATATTACTCCCGTAGAACCTCGTACTAGGTTAACCTTGTACGAGGAATAATACTAAGTGCAGGCTCAGCGTAAATTCACTCCAACGCTAAACCTAACACTGTTAGATATTTCCCATCATACAACATTCTCAACCCCAAAAACAATGTGCAATTAAATCAAACAGTTCTGCAAATAAAGATCTGCACTTTTCCATTTATTCCACCCCGATCACATTACGACACGCAAATTCATTTTTCGCAATGATATTTGCAAAAGCAAAATTTGCATACTAAAGGGTTTTTCAATTCGATATTACCCATTATACTACATACAAAAGAAACGCTATAAATTCAATAAACAAATGTTTCTCTACTGAAACACCTGCAGAACGACCGCCTGATTATTCTACCTATAACTCTAGCCATAGAGATATTATGTTATAGCGCTATTTTATTAATTTTGCTACTTTGGCATTTACTTTAATAATGAAGAACGAATGAGAAAGTATTTAAAAAAAAAAGAGCACTAAAAAGTACCTCACTAGATGGCGACTCTACCAAAAGTTGATTTATGCAGAAAACCTATGAACCAAAGATAGTCGTTTCCGTTCCTTTTAACTAGCATTTTAAAAAACAGAAATTTGCAAAGTTCGAAACTTAGATATAAATACAATTACGAAAAAGTACAAATAGAATATGAGTTATTTATTGAGTTTTGAAAATTAATTTACTTTTATACATGAAAGAAAACCGGAAGGGTTGACATGGAGAAATCAAGAAAGTACCGTAGCGACATCTAGTTTGATTTCGAGAACTAGTGTTTTTTTAATACTTCCTCAATATGAACATGGACTTGACAGAAGTGTTACCAACTATCATTTATCCCAAATTTATCCACGAAGGGACATGTCAGAGTAGTA